ATGTTCATCACGCTCTGGTGGAGACGGGCGAGGCGGGGGGGGTGGTGGGGGTGAAAGGCCAGAACGCAAGGCTCCATTTACAACCAGAACACTGCAGACATCATCTGACAGAAAGATCCCCAGATTCGGCACCGCCAAACATTTGCTTCCTGGGCGTTGAGCGCAGTTTAAACGTAGCGAGGAGGACATGACTGTCCAGGCAGGTCGGCTGTACGCTGACAGGCTATAACCCAGACGAGAGGAGAGTGAACGACGCATCCTCCATTATGGGGGGGGGGGCATTGCAGGGGACACTCAGACCACTGGGGGCTTAGAGGACAAAGCACCCGTCCCAGACTAAAAAGTGCCACTTCATTTCCCTTAAGCGAAGTAAATAAAAGTGACAGTCTGAGTTATGGGAATCTGCAAATATTTGGTTACATGGACCACATAGTTTGACCTTCTCCCTTCTGAACTTTAAAGTTTTACACAAAACCAGCACTTTGAGGTAACGGAGACGGACTTGAACTCCAACCTCTATTTCCGAGTAAAGGCTGTAATCAGTACGGCCGCAGAGGGAGGACCTGAGGGAGAGCAGGGGTCGGGCGGGGCGGCTCTTACCGTGAGAATACCGTGCCACAGGCCGACGTCCTTCTTGAAGTCCAACACATTCACGATGGTCTCAGCTGGAAGGGACACGCAGAGATAGGTCAGCGAGGAGGACGGAGCACGAGCGTCACCCCGTCGCCATGGTAACAGCCCCCCTGGGATGAGGGTCTCCGAGGGATGGATGGAGAGGAGGGGGTGCCATGGAGTTCCCCTTCACTGGGAGTCACACTCACAAAGCTGGGTGACATGGAGTCCTAGTAACATGGAGTCCTTCCCGACTATGACTCCAAAACTTAAATTTGGATACAATATATTATGATTTATGCTGTTGCTTTGAAAGCCTTTACAATTCTGGTTATATTCTGAACACGGGCAGCTCCACTGAGATTTTAACCGCCGTCCTTAAACTCTCTGAACATGCCCTCATAAGGCATGCATCCCGTAAGCAGAACAAGGGGGCACCGTGATTCGGGACAGTGATTTACCAACTGAGCGCTGGAGTCCCGAGAGGGATACTGCAGTATTACACCTTGACCCCCGTACTTAACCTGCTCTGCTGAAACGCACGGCTCTATAAGCAGGTAAAACTGAATGTAACAGCATTATGCAGAACTAATAAAACTCTATTATAAACTCTTAAGGCCTGGAGACAATGACCTTTGAATTACAGGGGTTAATAGAGGTAGAATGCAACTAGCGCCCCCTACAGGGCTGGTGTTTTCATAGCATGGTGGGTTAACACATTCAAATGCATGTCCCTAGGGACCTACCTTCAGCATAGCCACAGGACTGGGTCAGCCCCTGGCAGTGGGTCAGCATCGCGATCCGCATCACCGTCACACCCAGCACACTGCCGTCCTTGCACGTCTTGTACTGTCCCGTGAGCCGGGTGGAGCAGAGTCGAGCCGGACCGGGCCAGGAGAACGTACGTTAGTGACAGAGGTACTCTCTACTGCCCAGGGCAGTTGTGCAAGCTGGAGAGCGACTAGTGCATCCGTGCTATTAAAAAAAGCCAAAACCTCCAGCTAACAAATTGTTTTTTTTTTTTGTTGTTGTTAAATTGTCTCCTTCATAAAAATTTTATGGATCAGCAGTCAACCTCATGTAAAATGGACAAACCATTAAGGTACCTGCGTGGTTCAGGAGCTGGGAATCGATCGGGGCATAGCTTAGCAAAAAGAACTTTAAGTACCTTGAGTTAAACTGCATAAAAGACGGCATGACAACGAGTCTGGAAATGCCGCCGATTATTGGGTAAGCATCTAAATTAAGGCTCTGATAAAAGCTCGTTAACTGAAAGCGAAAAGGACAAAGTAGCACGTAGATGAAGATTCTAGAAGATTCTAAGCAGTTCAGTGATTTTAACCATAGAAATGGAACAGGGCACAGAGATTGCAGACTGCAGACATGCTCCTATACTGTCTTTACAAGAGCCACAGGACAAACGGACATGGACGCCAAAGAGAAAAACAATGACAGAGCCAGTCAGCAGCTGTTAAACCATAAAACACAGCAATGTGTTATTCTGGAGGCAGGATCACACAGCCTTCCGTAGAAGCCAGGGGGAGTCCGTACTCTGGGAACGCGTCGATCTTCCCCGGCTGTCAGGGAACGAGGAGTAACGAGAGGAAGAGGATGGGCCGATAAACGCGCGTCAGTGGGTGTCGGGGCGCTGTCACGCCTCCACGCCTCGCGGTTCCACGCGGCGACCCCGTTCGCTGTCACACGGGCTGGCTCTCGCACTGCCTCTGAGACCGACGTGTGCGGTGAGCGGTGAAAATGACAAAAAAAACAGCAGGCCGGCCTGCCGTAAACCCAAACGCCCCCCCATAAACTGGCGCTTTGGATGTAAAATTAGACTTCAAAGGCATTTAAGGTCTAGGGATATGAAAGCTGACAGGAAGTAGGTGTTTGTTTCCCTTTGAGGTGGCTTCTGAAGACCCGACTTACGACGTTGACGCTAAATGAAGAGGAAAACCCGTGGATTGTAATCGCGCTCAGGAGTCTAACGCAGCAGTATTTTTAATTTGGTCTCCTAAAAACATCTGCCCTATTTCGTTCACTCTTCAGTTTATTACCCCGGGTGTTTAAGTGACGTAAACGGCGTCCGTATCCTCACAAAAAGATTACAGTGCGGCCTGCGGCCGTCCAGATAACGAACCAGCCAGTGATTGAACCTCATTTGGGTGCCGCATCTGTTTAATACATCAAACCAGAGACGGGGAAAAACGCACAAACAGCACATGCAGTGCACCAGCGTGTTCCCTAAGAACATCTCGGGTGGCTCCATCAAATGGATTTTATTTCAGCTTTGGCGATACCATCTCCTCTCCTTCTTAAAACAGCTTCTATTTCGATCCGAAACGTAATGATTTCGCTCCGTCGAGGGGGATCTTTTCTCTTTTAATCTCACTTCTGAGGTTAGATTTCAGCCCGTCGTGTTGCAAGAGCTGTGCTGTTACCTCGATGTAGGCCGTGTCGTTGTTGGCGTCCTTAATGTGGGGGTACCAATCCCGGGGGGGCTTGGATAGGTGCTTGGACTCCGTGACGAACCACAGCAGCTTGGGCCACCCTAGGGGGGGGTGTTAAAAAGGGAGCGTCAGGGAAGGGGGGCGAACGCGTGATCGCGAGTGCATGTGCACCCCCCCCCCAAGAAATGAATTCCTCCTCTGTGACGTGTGCTTTGCATGGAGCTGGGAGATGCGAAAATGCGATGGAGTGTCGCCACGCGACACGGCCTCGTTAGGGACCCGCTAAAGGACGGGGCTGACCTTTGAACTGAGGTATCTCTCCGGTAGGGCTCTTGGGCAGCCCCTTGTGGCAGGCGTCGCTCGTAAGGGCAACGGTGACCCCACAGCTACCCAGAAGAAAACCGATCTGCTGGCTTCCTGCATCCTGAAAAAAGAACATGGGTGGGGGGAGGGGGGGGGTCACAATGGAGCAGGGTGTATAGCCATCAGATATGTGGCAGCAGCTTTATCAGATGGGTAGCGTAATTATTCAGAAGATTTAATGCTACCTGTGGGTCATGTAAAGGTCATATAGGCCTTTACAAAAGGGAGGGATTAAGGAGAAACGGACAGTGACAGGAAGCGAAAGAGACAGACAGTGACAGAGAGAGAGGGGGAGACAGGCAGTGACAGAGGGACAGATTGAGAGAGACAGGCAGTGACAGAGGAAGCAATAGAGAGACAGGCAGTGACAGAGGGAGAGATAGAGGGAGACAGACAGTGACAGTTGGAGCGATAGAGGGAGACAGGCAGTGACAGACGGAGAGATCGAGAGAGACAGGCAGTGACAGAGGGAGCGATAGAGGGAGACAGACAGTGACAGAGGGAGAGATCGAGAGAGACAGGCATTGACAGAGGGCAAGAGAGGGAGAGACAGGTAGTGACAGAGGGAGTGATAGGGATAGACAGAAAATGACAAAGGAACCGATAGAGAGGGGCAAAGAGACAGAAGGAGAGCTCGATAGAGACAGGCACTGACAGAGGGGGAGATAGAGACAGACAGACAGTGACAGAGGGAGCGATAGAGACAGACAGTGACAGAGGGAGCGATAGAGGGAGACAGGCAGTGACAGAGAGAGAGGGGGAGACAGGCAGTGACAGAGGGACAGATTGAGAGAGACAGGCAGGACAGATGAAGCAATAGAGAGACAGGCAGTGACAGAGGAAGCGATAGAGGGAGACAGGCAGTGACAGAGGGAGCGATAGAGGGAGACAGGCAGTGACAGAGGGAGCGACAGAGAGAGACAGGCAGTGACAGTTGGAGCGATAGAGAGAGACAGGCAGTGGCAGTTGGAGCGATAGAGAGAGACAGACAGTGACAGAGGGAGCGATAGAGACAGACAGGCAGTGGCAGTTGGAGCGATAGAGGGAGACAGGCAGTGACAGTTGGAGCGATAGAGAGAGACAGACAGTGACAGAGGGAGCGATAGAGACAGACAGGCAGTGACAGTTGGAGCGATAGAAGGAGACAGGCAGTTGGAGCGATAGAGGGAGACAGGCAGTGACAGTTGGAGCGATAGAGAGAGACAGACAGTGACAGAGGGAGCGATAGAGGGAGACAGACAGTGACAGAGGGAGCGATAGAGGGAGACAGGCAGACAGACTCAGCCCTGGGCTCCCAGGCTCCATGCTGCTGAGCTCCAGCTCTCTGCAGGTTTAATGAGATCAGGGGCAGAACCAAAGCTACCCTGACGGACGACAGCACAGCCCGACAGGCAGATAAGGAGAGCAGACTCATCTCAGACAGACACTCAGCACAGACACAACAGGCCCTCAGGGATTGTTCTTAATTATTCTTACACATCTGTAATTACTCCACTCAAAACACTCCAGGACAAAAGCACTGACTCTTTTCGCAGTAATTAGGTTTTTTTTTTTTTTAAGCCTTGGATTCGTGGAATCTGCTAAAAGATCGAGAATTTTACGGAGAGAGCATTCCCTTTCCCTTCGCTTCTGAACAGAGGGGGAGAGGGGCCCAAAGTCCAGGAGGCCAAAGAATGTTCCGGCAGCCTCTAGGTTATTTCACAAAATCTGGGAAAGATTGTGACATTCCGGAACGCCTCTGGAGGGAGGGCAGGGCCCCGAGCCCCACAGACCGAGCTGCTCCTGGGCGCTCCGAGCAAAAGTGCGTCAGAATGAAAAAGACTCTGCAAGACAGCAAGTCTTGACACCAGCAGGTGTTTTACCTATAAGCCTGTTCTTCCTTCGTTTTGGAAGAGAAACAGATTCAGCAAGTTTTAATTCGGTTAAGGGTCTTAAGTTCCGTAAGCACCTTTCACACCAGCTTCAAGCAAATAGGCAAAGCACAGCACAAACGAGTGACCCGCAGTTTTCCGTGGGACAAAGGATCTTCTGGAGAGTGGGAAAAAAAAAGCACAGCTAGTCCCTAAATAGATCACCCCTGACATACCTGCTGTGGTTTTCACACTAAAGAAAGTCATTCTGAGAGAAGGCAGGGATTAGAGCGGCCTTAGCCGTCCCCGAGAGTGGGAGAGGGCAGGCGATGCCAAGTGAGTGCAACCGGCTCCGCGAGGGGGCGTTTTGGTGATTTATTCCGGCACATGGGCACCGGCCCCCACTCACATCAGGACGTTTCAGCATTAACAAAGAAAGACGACTCACAGTCGCCACGGTTAAGGATGAGCCGCCTGCAAAAACAATCTCCCCTTGGAAACAGGAAGAAAAAAAAAGAAAAAAATAGACGACAGAAAAAAAAGAAAAAAAAATCTGTTGTCTAAAAGCAACTCTGACAGAGTGTTCACTCCCAGCGCTGAGAGGTCCTCAAACACACCTGCATGCACCTATCAAGCAAGCCTCTGAACAGGTGACTGGACACTGTCAGGGTCAGGGGTCAAAGAGGCGTGGCTAATCATAAGGCTCCACCCTCTCTGGTTTTAGCTATCCTGAGATGCCACAGACAGAGAAACCCAGCCCCTATACACCCTCAATAGGATCCACACCTGGGCTCTTACCTTCCTCGTCAGGGGCACCTCGATGGGCACAGGGACCACCTCAGCCAGCAGACAGCCGTAGAACGCCACCATAAAGGCGGCTGGGTCATTGTTGGGGAAGACCAGCGCCACCTGTAGGCAGAGCGATTAAACACACATTCAGGCATTCAGGAGGTTCCCATTAAAGGGGCCCTCACAGATCATTAAAGGGAAACTGCTATTACAGCAGCTTGATAAGAGGGCTTTTTAATCTGAAATCAGGCCACGGAAACCCGATTACCCAATCGCTGTTGTCGGATACCTTTCATCTGTTTAAAGAAGCCCTGGCGAATCCTTCACGGCCGCATGCAAAACCCGCAGCGCGTCGCATCTCTCTGCAAGCGCAACGTGCTGGAGATAAGCACCTGCATGCGCCGCGCGATTTTGCGGCGGGTTTATCGGGAATTCCACTCCGCGAGTGCGACTTTAAAGACAGCGATTAGGTGTACGTGCGTCGCTGAGGCGCCGTGACCCTCGACCGGGAAGACGGAGCTGGCAGCTTGGGATTGGGCTCCACCTTGCAGATAGGGGCTGCCCATTTATCCCCACAGCGATGACGGCGATTGCCCACTCAGCCGTCCTCCGACCCCTTATCCAGCACAGGATTCCACCATTTGTTTTTGTTGTTCTTCCGGAGGAATATTGACTCACGCCTCCAGGGACTGGATCCTGCTAATTCTGATTCCACCCACAGCCCAGAAACATGCTCTTATGCCAAGTCATGGCTCGAAATTGCCCATATCGTGTGACTGAGTGTGTGAGAGCCTGTGTGGATATGTGTGTTCGTGTGCCCTGTGATGGACGGGCATCCCATCCAGGGTGTGCCCTGCCGTGTGCCCTGTGATGGACGGGCATCCCATCCAGGGTGTGCCCTGCCGTGTGCC